ACTATCACCACTGTCTAATTCCAGAACATTTTTATCACACTGATAAGAATCCCTGTACCCATTAGTGGTAACTCCCTAATCTCTCCTCTCCCTAGCTTCTGGCAACCACTAATCTATGTTCTGTCTCTAAGAATTTGCCTGTTCTGGACATTTCATATAAACAGAACCATACAATATGTGGTCTTTTGTGACTCTCTCCTTTCACACAGCATAATGTTTTCAAGGTTCATCTATATTGTAGCATGTGCCGTCAGCACAGAGCCCCAACACAGGGCTCAAAGCCACCAACTGTGAGATCATGACTGATCTCATTAAGCTGAAGTTGGACGCTTAACTGACTGAGCCACCTAGGCACCCCTGCATTTTTATATTTTAAACATCATCTTTATTCCTGTCATTTTCTTTATAGGTTTGTTTTTTTAAACTTAGTTTTAAAATTTTTTTTTTAATATTTATTTATTTATTTATTTATTTTTTTTACAAATAGTTTACTGTCAAATTAGTTTCTACATAACACTCAGTGCTCATCCCCAAAGTCCCCTCCTCCATGCCCATCCCCCCCTCCCCCCTAGTTTTTAAATTTTTAATGAATCTTCTTTCTCTTTCTCTTTTCCCATAAATAATTAAAATCTAATCCCAGAGAGTTATCTTACAAAATCTTTTGTTTTTCCTATTCTGTTCCATTTTCAGTTTTCATATTTAAAAGTAAAAATTTAAGTAGCTTTGGTCTTAGTAATTGAAATGGAGGAAGAAGTCTTCATCATGAGGTTGATTACTTAAATATGGACTTCAGTAATCTCAGTGAAGACAGTCCTTGTTCTCAATGAACCGACAGTTCAGTTGGGAGGTAGACAGGATACTGCCAATGTAAATTAATTTGGTAAGTGCTGCCGTTAGTAGAGAGCATGAATGATGTGAGTATAGAGTGACTCTTCTAAAACAACCTACAGAGAATCAGGGAAGGCTTTCCAGGTTGAGTTGAGAGTTTGGGTAATGCAAATTAGCTAGGCAAAGAAGAGAGGCACAAGTGTCTCAGTATGGGCACAGAGCATGCAGTGATAGAGAAGTATGATAAAGCATCTCACCAGAAATATGGGTATTTTTGTATGATTGGAGCTTAGGGAAGTAGTGGAGAACAGTTTGGAAAAGAAACAGAGACCAAGTTCTGAAGGGATCTATATGCCATGCTAAAAAAACCACACTTCAGGGGCGTCTGGGTGGCTTAGTCGGTTAAGCATCCGACTTTCGCTAGGTCATGATCTCGCGGTTCGTGGGTTCGAGCCCCGTGTCGGGCTCTCTGCTGACTGCCAGCTCGGAGCCTGGAGCCTGTTTCAGAGTCTGTGATTCCCTCTCTGACCCTCCCCTGCTCATGCTGTCTCTCTCTCTCTCTCCCCTAGAAATAAATAAAAATATTAAAAAAATAAAAATAAAAATAAATAAAAAAACACACTTCATTTTTAGGGGAAAGGAGTAAGGGGATTTATCCATTAGCTAGAAAAGCACAGTCAATCTGGGTAGTATTTGTGGTGACAAATGAAGACCCATCACTGACCTCCAGACGTGTCTATTAAGTAGGTGAGATAGGTGGGGGATAAGGTAAGAACTGATGAGGGCCTAAAAGAAGGCAGTTGTAGAAATAGAAGGAAGTAAATGTAATTAGGAGCTATTTATTTGGAATCCTTGCCATGGGAGGTGACGTGCTATATGACAAGCACTGTGCTGGGGTCTTGGGATAAAAGGAAGAATAAAAGGGTTTCCTGCCTCAAGTGGCTTATTGTTTTGTAGAATGCAGCAGATTGTAAAGAGAGAAATTACCATGTAATGTGAAACATGTTATAAGTATATTATGAGAGCATAGAGAACTAAATGATTATTGATTTCATATTAGGAGGTGACATTGAGCAGAATCTTAAAGTTCTGAAGTTTTTTTTCTGCATATCTTGAACTGTATTTAAGACATTTTATATTATATTTTATGCTGTATGTCTATCCACCTACTCAACTTCTTTTGTTACTTCCAAAAGCAATTCCATGATGCCAGAAGACAATGAAAAGTCTTCTACCATGAAGTGCTCATTCTGGTAGAAAAGTACTAGATAACTGTCTCTTATCTGGAAAGAACTACTGGTTGCTAATCTGTTTATCTTTCCCTTTGTTTTTCTAAACTATTTCTTAGTTAGAACATTGATAACCTTTAAGGCTACTTTTAAGAAAGAATACAGGGGCGCCTGGGTGGCTCAGTCGGTTAAGCGTCCAACTTTGGCTCAGGTCATGATCTCATGGTCCGCGGGTTCGAGCCCCACGTCAGGCTCTGTGCTCACAGCTCAGAGCCTGGAGCCTGCCTCAGATTCTGCATCTCTCGCTCGCTCTCTGCCCCTCCTCCACTCACACTCTGTCTCCTCAAAAGTAAACAAACTTTAAAAAATTTTTGAAAAAAAAGAAAGAATACAATATTGTATTCCATTATATGTCAGTTCTCAAAGATAAGAATAAAGACTTGTGGCCAAATAAGAAGGATTAATCCCCCCCCCAACTTATTTTCTGTCTTCCCTAAAACTCCACTGAGATGATAGGAAGAAAAAAACAACAGAAAAAGAAACAACAGTAGATTGGAGGTTTCAATGAATGAAAAAAGTAAAGAAAGGTCTTAGAACTGAAGAAGCAATAGATTCTAGAAGGAGATATGAGGAGAAGCAAGTCTATACCCCTACAGAACCTTAGAGAAACTTACGGAGGTTCTAGGGCTCTCTGAAGGCTTAGGTGAGGTGTGTGGTGCTGAAAACAGAAATTGGTTGGAAGTGTACAAGGAGTGGTTAGTTATGCTGGTATTCTGTCCTAGCTTATGTAGCCAAGTAATATTATCCTTGTCCTGCAGGAGACTAAAGGTTTATTTTCTGGAAGAATTGAATTATGAAAGCTTTGCATTAAGAAATTCCAGGCATATCAAAAGGTAGGAATGAGGTACAGGGTTGAAAGTAGAAATGTAGTGAGAAGTCATATATGTAAAGTTGAGAACAGTCTTCATCTTGTATGAGTTTTCTCTAGGCACATTTAAGCTCCTTGGGAAAACATACAGAGTTAGTTAGACAGTTGGATTTAACCAAACTTGAGGCTTTGCCAGCTGATACTAAAGGTCAGAGGGATAAAATTCCAGAAGAAAAACCTGTGATGTTTGAGACAGTTACATAATATTATTGGACTTGCCTCACACATTAACATAGATACAGACATATAGAAATTGACTTTGAATCTATAGAGTTAATTTTGTTAAAAAAAAAAAATCTTTGGTTAGGTAGATATTAGAGGTGAGGACCTTACTTTTGCCTCATTTATTTTGACCTTTGTACTTCTACCTTGTATAATCCTGTGATTATATTTCTGATGTGATTTAGTTCTTTGATAGATGTAAGCCTGGTTCTTAGCATCAATAGCACCTCTCATTTAGAGTATTTAACACATACGTATTTTTTTCAAGTTCTCAAGATAGGAAAGTTTTCCGTCCTTCCTTCCTTTTAAAGTTTACTTATTTATTTATTTAGAGGGGGACTCGGGGGCAGGGACAGAGAGAGAGGGAGAGAGAGAATCCCAAGCATGCTTTCCATTGTCAGTGCAGAGCCTGATATGGGGCTTGAACTCATGAACTGTGAGATCCTGACCCGAGCCAAAATCAAGTGTCAGATGCTTAATTGACTTAGCCATCCAGGTGCCCCTTACCAGAGATTTTCATTCTATATTTTTTATTGGTCTCTGGAAACTTGAATTTTAGGCTTTTTTCTTATTCTCTTATTTTTTAGTAAGTACATCATTTTTACATTAGATAATGGAATTACATTTCTAATAATGCCAGAAAAATTTCTTTTAGTGTCTGTTATCTTTAAAATTAAGTGATGTTCATTAGATCATCTCTAAGATACTTTCCTGTTCTGAAAATGCTATGATTGTGTGTTTGATATTTTATATTATGGGTAATATGAGATTCTTAGTTTTATTCTGATTACAATGACTAATCTTGTTCAAGACTAAATTAGGCTCTTAAAGAATTTCAGATCTTCTCTAAACAGCTACAGAGGTATTTAAACTGGACTACTGTAGCTTCATGGATATTGTTATATATTCATAAGAAGGAAATAACATTTGAGGAAGCTTTGGAAGCATTGTTAGTAGTAAAGGTTAATGTTGGGCTAATAGATCCATTGCTTTGAAAAAATCTTTTTTTTTTTTTTTTTTTACATTTATTTATTTTTGAGAGACAGAGAGAGGCAGAGCACAAGCAGGGAAGGGGTGGAGAGAGCATGAGATTCAGAATCCGAAGCAGTTTCTAGGCTCTGAGCTGTCAGCACAGAGCCCAACGCGGGGCTCAGACCTACAAACCGTGAGATCATGACCTGAACTGAAGTCAGACGCTTAACTGTCTGAGGCACCCAGCTGCCCCTAGTTCCCTTGCTTCTAAACAGTGGAGGAAGACTGGAATCCTAAGAGACTCCATTTGGAGAAAAACAGTTGTTTGGCAATAAAAATCTCAACAGGAAGCCTCTGAATCTCAATTTAAGAAATCTGTATGTACAGAAAAAAAAAATCACACTAAGAAGACATTCTAGTGAAGCAGCAGTTTTGCTAGCTTTGGATTCTTGGAGGGCTTATTGTAATACAAAATAAGTGGTATTTTTATGAATTAACATAGTTAAAACCATTGGGTAGAAAGTGCCTGCCTTTGATGTTTTATTTTTCCACTGAAAATAAAAAATATTCAAAAATTCTTAACTGTTTATACAACATTTAACCTTTGGCCTTCTTAGACAATAAAATATGTCTGCTGTATTTCATGCTAGGTCTTTGAATCTGAAGATATAATTGTAATTTATTATTTAAGCTCCATAGCTTTCATTTGTCTGGCTATGATAGGTTTATATGAAGAAAATTAGGGCTTACTGCTTTAGCAAATGTAATGAGCAATGTGTTTTTTTTTTCTTTAGGATCAAACAGAGCATACTGAATCAGCAGGACTGGCTGGTGGTGCAGCAAGCATCATGAGTAAGCACAGGGAAGTCTGTCCCTTATCACGTGTGTAAGGGGAAAAAGGTAAGAAAACCAATGTTCTATTTCTGTTAGAGACTGAACTTAAGAAAACAGCTAAATCTATAGAAAATAATGCTCATGTATATATGCTGCTTGCTTCATTTATAACATTGCCTCTTGTTAAATCAGGAGTATAGTTTTAAAAAAAGATTTGACTTAAATCCAGAGCAAAGGGATATTTTAAAATTACTGTTGAATTATGTCAAAATTCTAATTTTTCTGCTAGCGCTTGGCTTTTTCCTTTTAGAGTCCGCTTCCACTTTGTGCATAAAAAGGTAATTTCAGCATGAAAAAGAACATGGATTTGAGCAGTATTGTTAGGAGAAAAAAATAGTGGTCTATCTATCCAATTAATCTTATTTCTATTTCTTAGTCATCATGTAAGAGCAAAGCAATTAAAGATAATTTGGGGGCAGGGAAGCAAATATAGATTTAATTACATTATTTTGTATTTTTAGACTAATTGTGCTGAGCAATAATTTCCTGCAGAATATTGGAAGTGTCTTACTAATTCTTGTAGAGCAGGAATCATTGATTTTTTTTCCTGACTAGGAATCATGTTTGATTTCTCTTAGGTTTTACAATTACTTAAGGGGCAGGAAATGATGGTGGGGGTGGAGGATGTGTGGGTAAGATTAATTTCAGAAACTGATTATGCCATTCACTAATGGCATGTTGCATACTCTGGCTGAGTTCTTTAATTTTCCATGTACGCTTTGAGGATAGAGGCAGGAGTCTGACAGTGTGTGATAGAGTGAGCTCCTTTTCAGTTGAGAGTGGAATAGAGAGGCACTTAGTAGTACCTTCCTCATTAAAACTTCTGGTCCTGCTGTTGGAAAGGTTATTTCTTGTACCCTAGCTATCTTGTAGAGGTATAAGAAGGGAGTGCTGGTTTTGCCTGTAGTGGGCAAAATCTTATTCTTTGGGCATTACCTCTTTAGGAAGTTTTCAACCCTCTGAAAAAATTATCAACGATAATAAAAAATAATTAGTGGTAATCAGTTATTAGAATATTTGTTACAGTAGCCCACCCTACCCCCCAAATACATGCCTGCCTCAGTCTGATTTAGCTTTACCTCGTCTTTGGCTCCTTAGCACTCAGGGCATATATCAGTTAGTACGATGTTTTATATTTTAAGTTTGTTCATCCCCTTCCCTTATGAAACATTAGGCACCTTTAGGTCAGGGACATTGTCTCATTTTTTTTTTAAAGTTTTATTTATTTAGGTAATCTGCACATACAACGTGAGTTCAAACTCATGATCCCAAGATCAGGAGTCATATGTTCCTCCAACTGAGCCAGCCAGGTGCCTCAGGGACATTGTCTTATTTGTCATTGTAATCTAATGACAAAGACAGTACCTGAGACAGAGTAGATACTCCATAATGTTTGGTGCACAGATGTACACATGGTCATTTTAATTAGTAGATAGCATAAAGAGGAAGTACCAGCGAAGGAAACATAAAAGAAGCAATCAGATTAGTGCTGTAAAAGTGGAACCCCCTAAGATTGATTCAATGGAGTGTCCAAAGGACTATGGTCAATAGCATAAAAAGAAGAGGTCTAGAAGCCCAATGACAAATGAAGAGGTCCTCAGGAAGAAAATGTACTAAATTACGTAGTTCTATTTCCTTTCTGAAATATACATGTATAATATTTAATGACTTCTATTTTGAATAAGAGATGGATGCGTTTATAAGAAGGCAGGTAAGGAACCTTGACATTGGGGTGCCTGGCTGGCTCAGTTGGTTGAGCCTGGGACTCTTGGTCTCAGGGTTGTGAGTTTAAGCCCTAAATTGGGAGTGTAACCTCCTAAAAAAAAAGAAAAAAAAAAAAGAAAATAATCCTGACATAAGATTAAAAAAATGTTTTTAATGTTTATTTTATTTTTGAGAGAGAGAGAGACCGAATATGTGCGGGGAGGGGCAGAGAGCAAGGGAGACACAGAATCTGAAGCAGGCTCCAGGCTCAGCTGTCAGCACAGAGGCCGACTTGGGGCTTAAACTCACCAATAGCAAGATTGTGACCTGAGCCAAAGTTGGACGCTTAATCAACTGAGCCACCCAGGTGCCCCAAGATTTAAATCCTCTGGGATATCCAGCTAATGTGAGAAGACTGCCCCTCTCCCATGTCCTCAGGACAGGTTTTTCTTTGGAAGATGAAACTAAAGACGCTCAAGACGTGAGGACATTAAACAACAGATCAGGGATGAGGAACCATATATAGTGAAAGGAAGATTAAGAGAAATCCTTTATACTGAAAAGTGAGACCCTTCCCCCTCACTTCTTCCTTTACTTTTCTTTCAGAAAGTAATTGCCTTGTATTATATCTCTGTACCCCCTTACAGGAAAGTATATGAGTCTTCTCTGAAGTCTAAAGAAAAGACCTCTCTTTTCTTTTCTTTTTTTTTTTTTATGTTTTATTTATTTCTAGGAGAGAGAGAGAGACAGCGTGAACAGGGGAGGGTCAGAGGGAGAGGGCACTTTCCGAGCTGGCAGTCAGCACAGAGCCTGACGCGGGGCTCGAACCCACGAACTGCGAGATCATGACCTAAGCGAAAGTCGGACGCTTAACCGACTAAGCCACCCAGGCGCCCCTAACCTCTCTTTTCTGACATTTAGAAGTCTCCCAGTGAAATAGCTGTGTTCCCACCTGATCACCATCTAGTGGAAGCCTCCTGGTTGAAAACCTAGACATGCAGAGCTTCTAGTTGGCTTTAGAACTTCATTTATTCAATAAATAGGCATTTGGGGGAAAGCCTCCAAGCAAAAGAGAGCAAGACACAAAAGTACAAAAGAGGAAGTTGGAGGAAAATAATATTGGAAATAGAAGAAAGTTTGAGGAAAAAACCAACAAACTGTAGGTAATTAGTAATTGCATCAGAGAGGTAAGAGAAAAGAGAAGAAATTATATTCATGAAAGAAGATGCTATAAAAATCATTAGAAAAAGATGGGCGCCTGAGTGGCTCAGTTGGTTAAGCGTCCAACTTTGGCTCAGGTCATGATCTCACAGTTGATGAGTTTGAGCCCCATGTCAGGCTCTGTGCTGACAGCTAGCTCAGAGCCTGGAGCCTGCTTCAGATTCTGTGCCTCCTTCTCTCTCTGACCCTCCCCGCTCATGCTGTGTCTCACCCTCTCTCTCAAAAAATAAATAAAATAGTGAAAAAAAAAATGAAAAGTGTATCTTTAAAAAAATCATTAGAAACAGAAAGTGCTCTGGAAATTAAAAATATGATAGACACTTCTGGTGTATTTAAAAAAATTTTTAAACTCTTAAGCTTATAGAAAAGTGGCAACAAAGAACTTTTTCTCTCTGAACTGTGAATTGCTAGCTACATGCCCCATCCTCTTTGAAACTGTGTGTTTCTGGGAAACAAGAACATTCTCCTACATAACCACAATATATTCATCAAAATCAGCAAATTAACATTGATTCATTACCACCATCTAATTCTCAGATCTTATTCAGGTTTTGCCAGATGTACAAATAATGTCCTCTATAGCAAAAGGATCTAGTTTAGAGTTACATGTTGCATTTAGTTGTCATGTCTCTGTAGTCTCCTTCCATTTGGAGTAGTCTGCAGTCTTTGACTTTTTTTGACCTTGACACTTTTGAAGATTCCAGACCAGTTATTTTGTAGAATGTTCCTCAATTTTGTTTGTCTGATGTCTCCTTATGAGTAGATTCAGGTTATGCATTTTTGTGGGAATATCACAGAAGTGGTGCTGTTTTTGTTTTAAATTAATACATTTTAATTTTTAAGAGCAGTTCTAGGTTTCGGTGTCTTGGTGGTTCAGTTGTTAAGCATCTGACTTCAGGTCAGGTCATGATCTCATGGTTCATGAGTTCATGTCTCACAGTGGGTGAGCTCGAGTTCTGCCTCGTGTGAGCCCTGCTTTTCTCTCTCTCTCTCTCTCTCTCTCTCTCTCCCCCCCCTCCCCCTTTGGGGGGATTCTCTGTCTCTCTGCTCTTTGCTCACTTCTACCCTCCCCTTCCCCAAATAGCAGTTTTAGGTTCATAGCAAAATTGAACAGAAATTAAAGAGAGTTCCCACTCCCTATCTCCCCCCACTCCCTATCTTGCCTCCCCCAGTATGATATTGCTGTGTCCTTTTCATTGCAGCCTATCAGAGAGCACAGATTTCCATTTGTCCCATTACTGATGATGCTTACTTTGATAATTGTGTAAGGTGATGTCTGTCAGGCTTTGCCTCTGAAGTTACTCTTTTTTTCTTTGGTAATTAGTAAATATTTTTGTAGAGAGGAGCTTTGAAGCTATGTGAATATCCCCTTCCATGGGATTCATTCATTCATATTATAGAGATTCATGATTCTCTTTTTTACTTAATGGGTCATAATCTATTGCTATATTATTATTTTGATTCTTTGATTTAGCCTGTGGGAACTCCTTTAGGCTGGTTCCTGTGTCCTTTTGACATGTCTCCATTATTCTTGGAGTACATACTTGCTTTCCAGCACACAAGATATTCAAGGCCCCTTTTTTTTTAATTGAAATATAATTCACATACCATAAAACTCCCTTTTTTAGAGTATATGTAGTCCAGAGGTTTATATATTTACAGAGTTGTGCAATCATCATCACTGTCCAGTTCTAGAACATTTTTATTATCCCAAAAAGAAATCTTGTATCCATTAGTAGTCAGTTCTCATTTCCCTCCAGTTCCCTCCAGCACCTGACAATCTCTAGTTAATTTTCTGTTTCTGTGAATTTGCCTATTCTGGACATTCCATACAAATAGACTCATATAATGTAGAGTTTTTGTGTCTGCTTCTTTCAATTACCTTAATATTTCCAAAATTCATTCATGTTGTAGCATATAGCAGCAGTATATCATCTATTTTTATTGTCCTATAATATCTATCCCATTTTGTTGACATACCATACCACACTTTATCCATTTATCAGTTGATACATATTTGGGTTGTTTCCACCTTTTGGTTATTGTGAATGATACTGCTGTGAGCATTCACGGTTGAGTTT